TAAGGTCTTACACAAGGCATTTGTTGTTTTTGTCTTGTCTCATCAGTCTCCTTTAATCTCTAACAATCGCCTTCCCTCCCGTTCTTCTGTACCCTTGATTTGTCGGCGAATGATTCTGGGTATTGTGATTCTCATTGGACGTATCAAGAACTGAAGTTCAGAGAGGTTAAGTGACTTGTGGACCATCACACAGCTGAGGGACAGACTTCTTATTTGGAACTGCCCCCAAAGTCTGTGTTACTAATGGGAGGAGCTTTAGTGCTCAAGCAGGTCCCAGCTGAGTAGGGGGCAGGAAACGCAGCAGGGAAAATGGTCTGGGCCTGGCAAAGAAAAGGGAGAGATGGAAGGTGACTGTAATTACAACACAATTTTTGATTGATTTAATGCTTGCAAGTGGCTGAGCACCCTGGCACTATTTCATTCAGTCATCATCTCCATTTTACATGAGGAAACTGAGGCACAGATTAGTGTATGGAGGTGCCCCAATTCCACGGCTAGTGTAGGCAGAGCTGGAATAGCTCAGTTTAACCCCATAGTCTATGCTCTTTTTGATCATCACTAGAGAGGGGACTTTTCAGAAACCTGAGATCTTGAGGCCTCTTGGTTGGGGGAGAGAGAACCCTGGCCTGGGGCCCGGACACCTGGGCTCCATCTCTAGGTCTGCCAGAGACTAGCAATGTGATGCCCAGCAAGCCACACCCACCTTCAGTTTCTTCATCTGCCAAATGGAGCAACTGAAAGAGACAATCCCCGAGGGTCCTTCCTCCTCCCCAGTGGCAGGGTTCTCAGAGGAGCTCTTCCCAGAATGGATGACACAGGCCTGGGGGCGGTGACGCTGGAGAGGAAAGCACCCACCATCTCTCCTTTCATTTCCGCATAGCTTAGGCTTGCTTAAATATTTGGTGTATCACGGAGCAGATTCTTTCCACGCGTGTGCTGTTCCTCCCCCAACCCCCATGACCTCCCTGAAAGGATGGGGTCCGCCCCACCTCTTCCTCTGGATTTCCCCTTGAGCCTCTGTGGTGTCTGAAGCACCCTCAGAAAGAGGGGGCAAGGAGGTATTATTTTCTTATAGTTTGAGATCCCTGTCACATGCTTCAAAGTCATCCTCATCAAAGAATCATCCCAAATCATGGAATCAAACCAATAGGTCATTTGATCCAGAAGCTTAAGCCAGAACAGTTGGCATAGACAGGCCCATGGGGTCTAAGGTATGATGCAGTGCCCCAGGTGCCAGGGTAAAGTCCCCTGGGCCTGGCCCACGTGCCACGGAAGGGGAGCATAACATCCCGTGACTCACTACTCAGGGCCAGGAGCCCCATAAACCTCTTCCCTCTGTGCCAGATGATTATTGAAGGCAGCTACAAGGGCTGTAGGGAGTGAGTGGCCTTTAGAGAAAGAGACTTCCCCAGAGGACGTGGTGTGTCCATAGAGTCTGGAGAGGGTTCTGGATCGATGATCCTGAAATAAAGTATGGAAAATGCTTTATAAACTGAGATGCAATAAACCCTGCGAGTAATATCCAAGAGGCGTCCCAGGCTCCAGTGGATTGGAGTACAAGTTTAGGCTCCTCTACATATCGGCTCTCTTACTTTGGGAAGGTTACTTAACGTCTGTGTCTCAATGTCCTCTCTGTTAAATGAGAGCTGGCTAGACTAGAGTAATGATATCTCTGGGCCTTTCTAGCCCTGAGAGTCTCGGGTTTTGGGTGACTGCCCCCAACACTATCCCTTACTGAAAATTGATGGTGCAGAGGTGGGAGTCCATTTGCCCAGGCACATGGCACATATCTAGCACATGACACTCAACAAATACTGTTGTTAATATTTTCACAGTCAGGGGAATAATAATGGCTGGCATTTACTGAACAGTTACTGTGGATAAGCCATGGTCTGTGTATTAGCTATCTAATACTGCTGCATAATAGATTTTCCCAAAACATAGCAACTTATAAACGATAATAAACATTTATTATCTCACACTGTTTCTGTGGGTCAGGAATTCAACAGCAGCTTAGCTGGGTGGTTTGGCTCAGTGTCTTTAAGGAAGGTGTAGTGAAGGTGTTGCCTGGAGCTGCAGTCAGTTCATCTAAGGTTCACTAGAGCTAGAGGACCCACCTCCAAGATGGCTCACTCAGGTGGTTGGCAAGTTGGCGGGAGGCCTCAGTTCCTCAGCAACATACCTCTCCATAGGGCAGCATACGTATCCTCATAGCATGATGGCTAGAGAGTGATCCAAAAGAGAAAGACAGGAGCAGCAATGTCTTTTATGACCTGTGGGAGGGGAGCACACAAGGGCATGAATAATAGGAGGCAAGGATTATTGAGAACCATCTTGGAGGTCAGCTATCACCGTCTGTTCCAAGTGTTTTATACCTATTAATTTATTTATTAATTCATGAGGTCGATACTATTAATCACCCCCATTTTACAGATTGAGTCACAGAGAGTNCCATTATGTACTAGGCACTGTGCTAGGCTCTAGGCTCCTCCAGAAGTTGGCTGTATGCGTGTGACTGCTACCTAGGCATCTTTGCTAGTGTATCTGCCTCCGCATGAGGCTCACTGGAAGGAAACCAATTTCCAGGGGTAATACAGCGGGGGCACCGCCACCTCCTTTACCTGTCCCAAAGTCGATGGCCCTCAGGGCATCTGCTATGTGCTCTAAGTCCAAAGTAAAGTAGTCCATGTTTTCAAAGTCCTGCTCTGTCTTCCCCAGCTGGCAACCCTTGGATGCTTCCACAATGCTGCGGGGGAGAGGAAGAGAGAGAGGGAGAAGGTCAGGGTGAGATCTCTGGGGCTCAGTGCAGGGAGGGGCTGCCTTAGCTCCAGCTCACACCAGTGCACATGCTTGACCACACCCAGGCCTTGCACCCAGAGTCTCTCCCCTGGAAGGATGGAGTATTTCCTCTCTAGTCACAAGCACAATGGATGGTCCAAGAAAACAGGGGATGCAAAGGCCAGGAAATCCAGCCTGGGCCGAGACCCTCCCAGCAGCCCGAATGCAAAGGAGACCCACTAGACACAAGTCAAAGGCCCTGGTGGGAGCTAGGACCTTGGGTCATAGCCCTGGGAGACACTGACCTTTTGATGAGTTCCTTGGCACTCTGTGGGGGGAGAGAAAGCAAAGGGTTAGGAGTGTGTGAAGGGGTACCCCCAGGAAATCGGCAAAACTGCTGACTGGGTGCTGCAGGTGAGCACTTGGTGTGGTGCTCTAGCCCAGTGGTAACCTGCTCCCCACCCTGAGCTGAGCAGAACTTGGATCTTCTCCCTCTGTCCACGGTCTGTACAGGTCTTAGTCATCACCCTAGGCGAGCCCTCCCATTGTCCTGGTAGGAAGCTTGGGTTTAAGGGGTATCCGTCTAAACACCTTAAATTCTTAACTCTCCAAGATGAGAATCTTAACCTAATCACTTTTTTAATATCTGCTATCTAGCAGAAATCTTGGCCTACAGTAGGTGCTTAGGAAATTTTTATTGAACTGAACTTTTTATTAAAGCTGATCCTTTTCCGTCTCCCCCAGCAAGCTCTTCTAGGGCAGGGCTGTGTCTCGTTCACCTCTGTGTCTCAGCCTCAATGGCTGAAATACAGGAGGTGCTCAATTCCTAGTCTCTAGGTTCAGGTAGGGATTGTTANCAATGATGGTCCCAACTTGGGCCAGTGATGCAACGTCCTTCACAACTAGACTGAAGACCAAAAAACAACAGCAACTTGTCTGTTCCCCTTCCCCCAATTCCCTAGTGCTGTTCCCATCCCCCAATTCCCCAATAAAAAAATCTTAAAAAAAAAAGTAACATTGAACTTTCTAAATTGAATACCAATATAAAAAGATGCCATCAATATATTGTTAGGTGCAGACAGAAAAATACATACTACTTATATGTAATCTGATTCTTTTCTATTAAAAAATTATATATATATATATATGCATACATGTGTATGTAAATAAATTTCAAAATATATCAAAAATTTTGTAGACATAGAAAATGGCTGGGAAAAACAATCCCACTCTTAAAAAGCCAGTGTTCTTATGGATTAGATTTAAGGAGCCGGGGCTCCTTACTGAGGCCCTTCAAAAGGCCCAGGAGGAAATTTGAGCTACAACTGAGTGAGCTGGGCCCTCACCTCTGTCAGAGCCCAGCCCTGGCCAGCAGACCAGAGGGGACTAGGGTTTCTGGAAACACTGTGAGGGGTGAGCAGCCCTGGGACCCTGAGACCCCAGAACAGTCAGGTCAAGGCCTGGGGGAGGACAGAAGTAACACAGCCCTCATGGGCCCCAATGGTGGTGGGGGAGGGGGAGAAAGGAGGACACAACCCTACTCAGGGACCCCATTTAGTCATCACAGCCCTGTGAGGTAGATGTATGATCGTCTCCATTTCTAGATCAGGATGCCAAGATTAAGTACATTGCCCAAGGTCACACAGGTAGTAAATGGAACAGCCAGACCTTGAACCCAAATCTGTCTGAACCTCCAGTTAGGGGCTCTGCACTGGGCTGGGCTGGGAGGGGATAAAGGCTGCCCTCCGGAAAGATGCAGAAACCCAGTCCACAGGTTTTTTCAGGGCTCAGAACCTCAGGAGCCCCCAACCTACCAGGAATCACAAAAGCAAGCTCTGCCCAGTGTCTCAAGTCACACCACCCATCTGGGGTCAGGGCTCAACCACTAAATCTGGCCCTAGGGGCCTCTCTGTTAACTCAGCACTGACACCTCAGGTTCCAGCTGTTGGCAGCCTAGAGGCTGGCACCACCCAAAATAGATCCCAGGAGTGACAGCCTGATCACTCCACTGTGCCTCTGCGCGCAGCCACCTCCCCCAATCTCCCATATCCACCTCCACTCCTTTACTTTCCCTGGCCCCCATCTCCCCACCCCCTCAATTCCCCACCCCCACCAGCTCTTGGGCTGTGAGTCACTCTGGACATGAAGCCTGGCTACTGGAAAGAAACAAAGGGTGGGGCAGCCTGGGTCCTGGATTCAAGTCCCTGAAGTTTGAGCCAGATGTAACTTGTGACTTGGCTAATTGCCTTAAGCAGCTTAAAATAAGCTAATTTACTGACTGTTGGGGGTGGCAGATCAGTGATTGGGAGCCTACTGTGTACCAGTTTTAATCAGTCCTTACAACTGTGAGGACATTTTACAGATAAAGTGTGTCCATGTTCCAGATAAAGAAACCAAGACTCAGAAGGGGAGGTAACTTATGCAAGGCCACCCACAGCTTGGAGTCTGAAACCAAGGAAGGCCTAGATTTTGAGCCTGGCCCTGCTACTCATTGGCTGTGTGGTCTTGGGCAAATTACTTTATCTCTCTGGGCCTCAGATTCCTCATCTATAAAAATGATATTAAATTCATATCCAACTTATAAAATTATTGTGAGGATTAAAAAAGATAATGTTAAAATTCTTAGCATGATATCTGATACAGAGGAGGTCCTCAGTCAATATTATGATTAATTCAATTATCTGACCAATAAAAGGGTTCACTCCCTAAGAGCTGTGGGGCTAGGGGAAATTTTTAACCTCAGATCAATCCAGGAGGTCTTCCTGAAAGAAGCATCATTTCTGTCCCATTTTAGCCTGAGACTATGAGTTCACTGGGTGTGTGTGCGGTTGTGGTGGGAGCAGGCATGCGGGGTGGGGGTGGTATTTGGGAGAAGGTGGAACAACTGGGGTAGGAAAGTTGCCTCAGTCTGGTGTGGGGGTGCAGGTCAGGTCAGGTCTAAACATAGGCAGGCCTCCAGACCTCCTTCTCAGAAGATGTCCCAACAGCCTGCTTGGGCACCTTGGATGATAAACAGGTTGTCACCCTCCAATCCCCAAGTGAACCTGATAAAATCCTGGCAAAGCTGAAGAGAAAAGAGGAGGCTCATCTATAAATACTCTGTGACTCAGGCTCAGTGTCCTGTTGAAAGTGACGCTTGTGTTTATGGTTCTGTTGCTCTGGGGAGGTGTTCCAGCTCAGGGAGAAAGGTCTGGGTCACTCTGAGGTCTCAGGCCTCCCATTTCACTTTTCTGGGTCACATTTGGGGTCTGCGGCTAGGCCCACCATGGCCTCGCTGAGTCCAGTCCATTATAGGACTCCAAGAAAATCTCTCAGCTCCCTGGGCTTCTTGTCATCCAGGAAATGAACCATGTTGCTAATGAGCCACGAGGTAGGATGGCCTGTTGGTTGGGCATACAGGTTTTCTGGTACCAGAAAAATGTGGATTCAAGTCCCAATTTCACCCCTTAATGAACTATGTGACTTTAAGTGAATCGCTTCACTTTTCTGAGTCTGTTTCCTGAACAGTAAAATGGGGTAACTATGGAAATTCCTTCATAGGATTGTCGTGAGGATGAATGAAGTGAGTGTATGTATATAAGGCACTTAGCATGGTAACTGGCATGTAGCAGACCCTCAGTTAATGATGGGTATTATGATTACGAATCAAGCTATTTGTTTAAAGTACTTTGAAAAGGGGATACTTGGGAATTTGGTTCCCTTCAGAGAGATATTTAGAGAGTCAGTGGTTGTTCCAGAACTTTATCATCTGCTTCCCAAATATGGACAGTAAAGTCATGAAGAAAAACGATAACACCCAACATTGGTAGGGAAAGGGCTGTCATTTATCAAATACCTACTGTGTGCCAGCTGCTTTCACTTACATCATCATCCCATTTGACTCCCTAGCCACCAGCAAGGTATAACTCCCCTTTACAGACAGTAACCAAGGTCCAGTGAAGTTAACTGAATGGCAGAGCTGGGATTTGAATCAGGTCTGTGTGACTTCAAAGTACTTGTTATGTGTGGCCCACTAAACCACAGGACCTGGTTGCTTCTCTGGTCTAAGAAGGTGGCCAAAGAAAGGACAGAAGTGAGGGACTGAAGAAAGAAGAATCAAGGAGCTTTGCATAGTCTGGGGGAGTATAGAGAACCAGAAGACTGGAGCTAGGGAGCTGGTTGGGGAAGACACAAGTTTGTGGTGACTGCTCTGTGGTGTCCACCAACAGACAGATGTAAAGTACAGCTGACTTCAGAAAAAAGATCAACCTGAGATGGAGGGAAGAGTCCTTTGCTCACAACTATCTGAAATAACTTCTGAACTTACAACTTCTGCCTGGTTTTGAATGCCCTGTCTGTGGCACCCACCTCAGGGCCTTTGCACACACTGTGTGCTCTGCCTAGAATAGTCTTTTCCTTCTCAGCTGAGAAGTTACCTCTCCAAAGAAGCCTTCCTTAAACACTCTATTGAAATAGGAACCCATCCCATTACTCCTGGACTCAATACCTGTTTGAT